CGGAGGGACGGCCGTGCTGCCTCCGGTTTTCTTCCAGGCAAACCGCAAAATACGCCACCGTCCAGCGAAAGCGAAAACACAAATGCAATACGGTGTACGAATAATTTTAATTAGGAAAGCATATGCCCCCCCTTCACGTTTCTTCTAACTGGGACATAAAAATAATCCACCTCCTTCTCCTTGTGCTATGGAGTGTATTGTTTACCTGAGTAGCACCTTCGCTGTCATACTGCTTTACTGTTTGGGGTTTTTTTCCCTCAAAATAAAAGATGTCTAGCACACAAACTGAAAATGTTTTGTGTTATTTATTGGCAATTGATTATTGCCAGAAAGATGGTGCTTTCACAGCAATGTTTCCAAAAGCAGTCTTTTAGTTATAACGAATTACATTGTCGTCAATGTAGTATTAAGTCATTCAAATTAACATTAAATTGGCCTGACAATACTGCATGGACTTCATATCTTTAATTTATCCATTGTCAACATAAGAAAATTCCATACTCCGTACTGGGGTACTCTGCATTATAACACACACTCACACAAATACACACACACACATACTGCACCGTGTTAGATTTAGTTCTGAGATTATAAAATCTTCATTAAATCTATCTTATAAAGTGTTTATAGGTATTTTTTCAGCTTCCAGAGAGTAACCCAAGGTTATGCACTTTTTTTTGCACAAGGCAATCTCACAACAGGAAACTAATCTTGACAAATGACCAGACTTTGATATCTGTGATCTAAAACACTGCTCATTAGACTGTTCATTTTATAAACGAATGGTAATAAACCTGTTGAGAAGTGTAGGATAGCAGGAATACTTTACAGATCACCCCTTTACAGGTTTCAATCAAAGCCATAAATTTGAAGGGGAGCATGCAGATATTCTGTGCTAAGACAAAGACTCTGTCCCACACCAACCACATTTAAAGAAATATTTCTTTTGCTTTCTATACATTTTACAAATAATTTGCATAACTCTGACTTTTTACCCCCATGGCTGATTATCTCCAGCTCTCTTAAGTTAATGTCAAACCTCAAAATCCTTGGACTTGTTAAAGTATGTGGAGAGTGGAAATCAAATGCCTTTATTAGAAGCCCCAGGAAATCTCCGACTCCTAAGCACAACGAAAACATTCCAAAGAAAATTGTTCAAAGAGGACAAAGGAGAAAAGCAGAACAAGAAAACCTTGTTTTGAATCAACGATTGCAAGAGTTTTATAAATAAATTCTGTTGCCTGGACAATTTTGAAAGACAACTCAATAGGTTTAGGAGTTTTTAAGTGTGTTTGCCTCTATGCCTGAAACACTTGGGGGATTCAGCTGAGCTAAAGCTTGGAACAATGGCCTGTCTGTCCATCTGAGTATTTGTAATAATAGCTGTGAAGCAACTTTACAGTACTAGATAGTCAAAAAATCTTCACCAGCTAAAACTGTGTGAACTTAACAAATTAATTTTGCATATATATTAGGGGCAATGAAAACGCTAAGACATGTGGTCCTGTCTTTAAACAGTAGATGAAAATGTTCACCAGCGGAAGAGGCCATAAAGATTTTATTTGTTAGGATATCCCTGTGAAGTCAGGCTGAATCAGTAATCCTTAGAAACAACCACAGTTACATGATCCATTGTGCCTTCCTGCATGGGCACAACCATCTGGTGTTTAATACATACTACTGATTTATTATCTCTCGTGTAGTTATCTTGCAGTAAGTTTGACCCTGCTATGCTCCTGAGAATCATGGTTCTGCTGTTTACTCTTCTGATGTCCTGACAACCCACCCTTTACCTTTCCATTGCTCACCCAGGTCCTTCATTTCCTCCTGTCTGTGGGCAAATAGATTTTAATTGTTTTATTATAACTAATTTAATCTGTGCTGAGAGATCTCCATGTGCAGTGTGAAATTTGCTG